TTGATAAAAATAAATCAGAACCAATTTTTAAAAACTTCTTAAAAATTTTAGCAAGCAAATTTGCCTGCTAAAATGGATAGTTTATTGGATAGTGAGACTTCTCATTGTATTGTTAATTTATTATTTAGAAAAAAAATCATAGATTTGATTTCTAACTCTAGTACTTTTTTTAGTTATCTTTCAAAAAGATAATTATACAAAAATTGTAAAACTATGTGTAAAATTATGACTTTGATATAGTATATTGTGTATTACCTATAAGTGTCTAGATACAATATCTCTATTTATTAGACCCACTCTATTTTTTTCTTTTTTTACTAATTAATTTTTTTGGTGAAATATAAAAGGCCTGAGTTATGTACTCAGTTATTTACAGTAGTTCATTTATTTGCTAAGTATATTATACTTATAATCTCGATCTGATAAAACATATAGTATTAATTTCAATTTTAATATTTTTGTTACAAAATAAAGATGAACAGTATTAAATATATCAGGTCCAAGATCAGTCTCATATCAAGATCTAATATAAGCTATATAGATATAGTTCACAATATCAATTCTATAGACTTAACTATAGTTCTTAAGCAAGATTAGTTTTTTTTTTAAATTAGTTTTTTTATTTTAATTAGATATTAAACTTGATTGATAATTGAAAAATAAAATTTTTGTGAAGATGTAGCGACTAGTGTAGTAGTCTAGTCATTACCCTATTCAAGCAGCAGGATTAGAGTTTGAATCTCACAGATAACAATTTTGAAAAATGGGCCTTTATTTGTTTAATAGTTAGGATTATTAGTTGGATCCACAAATCTGTAACCTTGGTCACACCAACTAGGAATGGAAGCTTTGGTGCAATAAATCCAGAAGACTGGAATAACCAAAAACTGTTTAGCAGTTTCAAGTTTGGAGATAGCAGTAATTTTCAATAGTATACAGGAAAGTTGAATTCAGACTGAGAACCAAAATTGAAGAACCAAGCAACAAGGTTCTTAAGTAAGAGGATACATTAGCTAAACTGCTATTTTAGACATACTAAAGTAAAAGGATATGCTTCAAAAGTATGTACTATATATGCCAAAGGGAGAACGACTATGAGGCATCTAAAGTCTGAGCAAACTAACTCTTCTGGGTTGCCAGATAGAAGCAAAGTAGGTCCAATAAAGAATCCAGATAAGAAGACAATCCAAATGTGAATATCAGGGTTGTTGTAAACTGAATAAGAGCAAGAAGTATGTAATAGGTACCTAATTAGGAAGATTAGTACTTGAGAAATGTCTATAGTACAGCAGTACTTCAAAGGTGGTATAAGATACAATTATAGAATAGCAGGTCAATAAGTACTAATTAGGAAAAAGTTATAGAAACATGTAGGTGAATATATGTATGGGACATGCGATACTCTGTTAGATTTATCTCAAAGATAAACTAGCTTAAGTTAGTAAATCCTAAGGTAAAATGCTAAAATCTATTAAAGTAAATACCAAAATCTAGCATATGAATAGTGAGGAATACTCCAAGTTAGAAGGCTGATGACAGCAGTTAGAACCAGATAGTTTAAATAGATAACCCACATAGTTGAGATGCTGGTATAGCAGATAGTGTAGAACCTTCATGTAGACTACTTAAATTATATACCAAAAGTGATATATAGTTTGATATACTATCATTGTAATTGTAATATAAAACATTGTCTATACTTTAATAAAAAGGCTCTAAACCAAAGAGGTCACCATAATATAAAAAATAAAAAATAAAATAAAATAAAATTTTTCAATTATTTTAGAAATTGGTTACTTTGGCAAAGACCTTTTCTAAATTTATAATTATAATATATATTTTAAAATATTTTTTATAATTACTAGCCTCTTACTTTGTACAATATTTTTATAGTATACAACTTATATACTATAAAGAGTTTAATAAGTAAGCTTAAAAGTAGATATAGTTAAAGTGCATTTCTATAAGTGTATGGATTATATAAACCCTCTTTAAATGTATAGTATAGTCCAGTCCTAGCTTATAAGAGCTCTATATATTTTGCTTTCTATAAATACACACCCTCTCTAAGTGCATGCTTTTCAATTTTTTTTATAGTCCCGAAGGGGTGCACTTAGAGAGGTCTAACTGTATAAAAAGAATAGTTTTAAAAAAATATTTATATTAATGTGTTTTTTTTATTATATTTAGTTCATTTTTGTAAAATGGAAGGTCACTGAAATAATCCTGCTAAGAAAATTTTTCTGTATAATAATATGAAGTATTGGCATGTTTATAAAACTGTTCCACAGTCAGGTTTTAATTTTAAACTATTTTCAAATGCCAAGCTCAACAAGGATAACCTTATCAAAGGGATTAAAAAAATTATTCCTAACCATTATTTTAATAAAAATTGTGCCTAGAACATTAAAAATAAACTAGAAGTAAAAGAAAAGAATGCTTTGATACTTGCTGGAATTTATAATAAAGCCAAATCTCTTTTTGACAATATTTTCTGCAAAACAAAAAAACAATTAGAACAGAGTCTCAATGACTAGTTTGCTTTTTTTAAAAAAAAAAAGTTACTTGCAAAAATTTAGTCTAAAGATAATTATTCAATCTACTTTCTGTTTATTTAAATAATACTTTAAAATACAATAACTCTTTTATAAAAACTTAACTTTTAAATACAAAATTTCTATCACTACTTTATATTAAAATTATAATTTAAGTATGATACTTATTAAATAAAAAAATTTTTAGAAAAAATTTTATTTCTAACTAATAAACTATAGAGCTGCCAAGAGAAAATAAGACTTTGGATTTTTTATGAGTTGAATCTGATTAATAATAAACTTGAAATCTTATTTTTCTTGGCAGTACACAAATTATTTCTATATATTTCTGGTTTTATACTTTATTTTAATCTTTTTATTCATTAAGCCAATTTCTTACCTATTTATTTTATTTATTTCTAATTAACTATTCTATATTATTTTAAACTATAACACATTATATATTATGTTATTCATTTGACATTTTATCTACAAAAAGGTAAAAGATTATAAAATAATAAATAAAAATAATAATTTAAAAATTTATAAATTAAGTAGACATGCTAGTAATACTCTCTATTCAAAATGTATACAAATTAGCATATAAATCAAATCACTATTACTCAGGCATTTATTCAATATTTCAATTAATATTCAGCTGATTATTTTTGATTGAATTAAATCTTTCTCATAATGTTAAGCTATAAAATCAAAAATTTAATTATTCACTATTATATAACTATTAGTTACTGTATCACCCAGAGTATTAAGTAACTTTATAATATGGTTATTAATTAATACCAAATAATTATATATATCAATTAAAAATATATATAAGTCAGCTAATCAATTAATTTTACTAATCTATTTAGAAAATTTACTACTATATACAAATTTTAATAGTTAACTTTCAGTATTGATATATATTTTACATTTTTTTTTTTTAAACTTTGTTGTATATTTTACTTTTATTTAATAGATTTTTTTTTTGATTAATGTTTATTTTGCAAGTTGTGTTTTGTTGATGAAAATAAAATGAAGTCAAAATTAAAATCTAGTGAGAATAAAACTGATACTAAGAAAAATACCAGTTAACAGTTTTCATTTTCTTACTGCTTTAAATTTTTACTAATACTTATCTTTATTCTCTTTTGCAAGTTTTATGTTTTGTCAATAAAGTAAAAATTAAGATTTGGTAAGACTTGAAACTGATATAGTAACAAGATAAATACTAGTTAATAGTTTTTTTTTTCTGACTGCTCTTTAAATTTCTACTAACACCTTCTTTCTCTTTTGCAAGTTTTATGTTTTGTTAACAAAGATAAAATGGAGTTGGGATTGAAATCTGAAACCTGCCTAGTGAGAATTGAAACTGGTACCAAGATAAATACTAGTTAACAGTTTTCTTTTTTTTACTGCTCTTTGAATTTTTACTAATATCTTCTTTCTTTTTTGCAAGTTTTATATTTTATTAACGAAGGCAAAATGGAGTCAAGATTGAAACTTGAAATTGGTACCAAGATAAATACCAGTCAATAGTTTTTTTTTCTTATTGCTTTTTGTATTTTTACTAATATCTTCTTTCTCTTTTCTTATTACTCTTTGGATTTTTACTAATACTTACTTTCTTTTTTACAAGTTTTATATTTTGTTAACAAAGTGAAAATAGAGCCAGAAATAATCTTTATGAAGTGTCTTTAATACAAGCTATTGAAAATGATGGTGTTAAATATTAATTTTTGTAAACAATGATTGTGTTTGTTGTAGTTTATTATAAGAGTATAATACATTAATATAATAAAGTAAAAACTTTTTAGCATATATAATATTAATTATTAATTGTATGTTTATTATTTATCTGAGTTTGATATACTGTTAAATAATTGTTAGTTATTTTATCACTCAGCCAGGGCTATTATATTACTTTGACAAGTATATAACTGTTACTATTATATAGCCATTAGTTATTGCATTACCTAAAGCTGTTATATGACCTTGTCAAGTATATAACTATTGGTAACTACATTATTCAAACTATTATGTAACTTTGACAATAACTGTTACAACTGTTATATGTATAACTAATAGCTACTGCATTACATAGAGCTATTGTATAACTTTAACAAGCATATAACTATTACTCAAAACTATTATGTGACTTTGACAAGCATATAATCATAACAACTATTATATACCTATTAGTTACTACATTAACAAAAACCATTATGTGTAATCTTGACAAGTATATAATTTTTACATCCATTATATAACTATTGGTTATTGTATTATCTGAGCCTTTGTGATCTTAACAAGCATATAACTATTACAACTATTATATATCTGTTAGTAACTGCACTATTCAGAGCTATTATGTAACTTTAACAATAACTTTACAACTATTATATATAACTATTAGTTACTGTATTACACAGAGCCATTATGTGATCTTAACAAGTATATAACTATTACTCAAGGCCATTATATAACTTTGACAAGCATATAACTAGTACAACTATTATATAACCATTAGTTACTACATATATTAACTGTTATAATATATTAACTGTTATATAATCATTGGTTGCTGCACTACTCAGACTATTATGTAATACAAGCACATAATTATTACAACTATTAGCTGCTATGCTACTCAAGATTATTATATAAAATTTAAAATAAGGTGATAGAAGAAAGTGAAAGTGAGGATAGAGGTAAGAGAGTAAGGAGTAAAAGAGAGAGTGGGGTAGAAAGGGTCAAAGTAAAGAGAAGTAAAGGGTAGAGAATAGGAAGTAGAGAGGGTGGGAGTAAAAAGAAGGCTATATTGAGCTTTTTCTATCACTTTCTATATAAAATTAAATAAATTAAATATATTAAATAGTTATTTTCATTGAAAATTAAATTTTTCTTTTGTTAATATTCTTAAAAAAATTTATAGAAGCTATTAAAAAAACCAAATTTAAATATATAAAAGAAGTCAAAGGCTAAATCCAAAAAAATAATAAATCAAAAAATAACAAGACTTTTTTAAAATAATCATCATGCTGTAATTGAAGCTACTCTTAGAGAACTCTCAAGTCCTGGAAATTCTAGTATAAATTTAACTGCTCTAAATTTTAAAATTTCAGAACCAACTTTGACATACTGCTAAAAATAGATTGTCTAAATGTACTAGTTTAAAAACAATTTTAAACAAATACAAAAAAGCACAGTTAGTAGGTTAATATAAAAAAATATAGAAGCTAGAGTTTGGTTTAACAAGATTGGATATAAGCCACTGTGATAGAGATAGTGTATAACAATTATTGTAACTATTCTTTTATAAAGAAAGGGCCTGGCAGAGTTTAGTAAAACCATTTTATGAAAGATTACTTTGGCTTATCATTTTGAGTACCCCAAGCTCTATCTAAAGCATGTGCTTAAAGAGCAAATCTAATAATTATAAAAAATTATTTTAAAAAGCTGCAAAAAATAATTTAGAAATATTTACTTACTGTAGAACATATATGGAATATAGCTAAAACTGTTTTGTTATTTTCTCTAAAAACCAAAAAGTTCTTACAACAAAAGATTTGTATTAAAAATTTAAATTATAAATATTATAGCTAATACTAAAATTTAAGGTTTGTATTAAAAAAATTATTTACCTCTATAAAGATACTTGTCAAGTTTATAAAGTCTCACATGAAAATATACATAAGCTCATTTCTGTTACTCTAACAATTTCAGTAGCAGGTAACTATGTTCCTCTATTAATTATTTATAAAGGTGTTTATATGATTTCTAGTTTATTAGCTAGAGGTTCAGCTAGTGCTGGTATGAGATTTACTAATATTAGATATATACAAGAAAGCCTTAAAATTCAAAATTATACTCTGTATATTATTTTATAACTATATAGTAATTGCCAATCTGAATAGTCTTTATAAAATAGCAGTACAAAATAAGTAGAGTTTGAAATTAAATAAAATTATAGAGTTAGGTATATAAATTATTAATTACAAATATAATAAAAAACTCTTATAATAAAGTTAGCTAAGAGTGTAGTAACTTAGTGAAGTAGTAGAGTTGTCGCACTTCAAGCTAGCTTAACTATAGTATTGAGTTCAAATCCTACTAGCAATATTTTAAAACAAAAATACCTGTGTTATGGTAATAGATTTTTATTAAGTTGGGCTTAGAATAATCTATAATCTTAAGTTACACTAATACTTGTATTGAAAAGTCATCACACTGAGGAATTTGTATAATGTCTAGGTTATATAAAGAAATGCAAACTAGTATAGGCAATACAAATATATAAAAACTTCTGGGTGTATTAGTAATACCAAGGAACAAGAAGATCCAAAACTGGCTTGGTAAAAAGCTAAATAGGAAGTAGTAAGAATTTTTGATAATGCTACAAGAAGACCAAATCTGGAAGCAAGTGCTAGAACCAGAGAACTTGAGCAACAAAGTTCCTTTAGTGAGGAATTTACTACTAGCTACTACTAGTTTAGTGCTAAACAAGTTAACTTGGCAAGTACCAACAGAGTCATCGGTATGGAAAACCAGTAAGTTGGATGCTCTACCTTTCCTGGCCCTGGACTAGGTTGAAAAGTTAGAAGCTATGCCCTTTGAGAATACATAGGCCGAGAATAGCCAAGGAGTACTAGTCAGAGAAAAAAAACATATGCTAAGGAAGTATGTACTAATAGAATATAAACTAAAGGTACCTAAAGCTGGGTCAAGGTTAACTTTTTCAGAAAAATAGTTGGTAGCAATAAAGATTGTAAAAGGATGAAAGTTAGAATGCAGTACTGGGTCTGAATATCAAACCTATAAGAGTATTAGTAGATAACAAATAGAGGTTTAATAGTTAGCTCTAATTCAAGTACATGTTAAGTCATGGTGTTAGTTACTGAAAGTAGAAAGTACTGGGTGTTGGAGGTTAAAGTCTTATAACCAGTTGTAAAAAGGTTAATTAATTGATGATTCTCCAGTCAACTAGTACATGATCTTAGTAAAATATAACTCAGATTACTATATAAATTTACTATAGTGCGAATATGGCATGGCGATCGCCCAAGGTAAACTTTTTCATACTAAGTTAATTACTTTTCTTGCTTAAGAGACTTTTGTAAAGCTTGTCAAGATGCATCTAATGGTGGTTAGAGTGTCAAAATCAGCCTGTGAGTACTAAGATATCTTTAAAAAACCTCTCTTTTAATATATAAATTTCTTTGCAAACAATAGTATTGTAGTATTGTTTGCAAAGAAATTTATATAGTAAAAGAGAGATTTTTTTAAAGATATCTCAGTACTCACCAGGCTGATTTTGACGCTCTAACCACCATTAGATGCATCTTAACAAGCTTTACAAAAGTCTCTCAAGCAAGAAAGATGATTAACTTAGTATAAAAAAAGTTTATCTTGTACGAACGCCACATTCGCACCATAGTAAATTTATATAGTAATCTAAGTCACATTTTACTAAGATCGCACACCAGTTGACTGGAGAATCATCAATTAAAACAAATGTATAGTGACTCTAGTTATATAACAAATGTTGAATATTAATAAAGTACTCTAAGTATAAGTATTTACTTTAATATTTAAAAAAAAAATAATAAAGTCAGCTATATATTGAAAAAGTAAAAAATAAAAATAAAAAATATATTTAACAATACTAATTATTTAAGAATGTTTTAAATAAAATAGAGAAGCTTAATAATTACTGATTATATAATCATTAATATAAATTTTTTTAGCAATATTGCTACAATTATCTTGAAGTTGTAAAAAATCAGCATATAATATTTTAATAAATTTTTTATCAAATTATACCAACTAAGCTATTAAATATTTTTTTAAAAGATATGTATTAGTTAAAATAAGTTTTTGTAAAATTATATACATCTTTAGCATTAATAAATAATCAAGTTGCTTCTATATATTTTTTATATACTAGTATTATACTAAATAATATATAATACAATAGTTATAAATAATATAAAAACATATTTGTAATAATTGTTAAGCAATACTATTTTTATTTTTAATTATTTTTATTTATTTATTTTTAATATTAAGGTAATCTCTTTGGCTATAGAGACTGTTTTATTAGAAGTTTAATTTTAAATATAGTGAGAGTATATTAAGCCACATATGTACTTTTGGTGCCTAATTTAAGTAGTTTGGCTAATTAAAGGTTTCACACTATCTAACATATCTGTACTCCAACTACAAAAGCACACATTTAAACTCTCTAACTATAAGCTACTTCCAAGCCAATGAAGATTTCTAACCCAGAGTATTATTTATTGTTTATATACAGATTTTGCTTCTACACTATTGGTATTTGCACCCTATCTTAAAACTTACTAACCAATTATTGACTAGTCTATCCTGAGATAAATCTAACAGAGTAGTGCATGTCTTATACATGTATTTACTTGCATATTTCTATAACTTTTTTTCTAATTAGTACCTATTAACTTGCTATTCTATAATCATATCTAATACTATCTTTTGGGTGCTGTTATACTACAGACATTTTTCAAGCTCTAATCTTTTTAATTAGTTGACTATTATATACTCCTGCTCTTATATAATTCAAGATTATATGAACTCAGATAAAGATTTAATCCAGATAAATCTGCTACCTATTTATCTGCAATATTATATTCAAATATTTATCTAATTATATTAGATATGGTGCTGGAAGCCAAAAATCAACAATCACATGAAATGTTTCAATTTTCATGTGATTACAATTGCCAATGAAATTAATATATTTCGACATTCTTACACATACTGTGCCAAAAGCATAGCATTTTTTTAAAACACTAAAACTTTTTAAAGACAATCTTTTTCAAAAAAACTAACTAATAACTTTATACACAGAAGTGAGCTCTACAAAGTTATCGGTTAATTTTTTTAAAAGGGTTATTCTATAAAGAGTTATACTAATTTAAAGATTGAGGGTTTTTTTCGAACAGACATAATTTTCTATAGAAGAGTTTTTTTAAAAAATTCAACTAATAACTTTATATAGCTCACTTCTGTGTATAAAGTTATCGCTCAGTTTTTTTGAAAAAGATTATCTTTAAAAAGTTTTAATATTTTAAAAAAATACCATGCTTTTAGCACAGTATGTATAAGAATATCGAAATATATTTATTTTATTGGTCAATTGTAATCATGCAAAAATTGAAACATTTTACATGATTGTTGATTTTTAGCTTCCGACATCATATTCAAATAATTTATCTGAATTATTTAATATATCTATAACAGATATCAAAACAGATATCTAACAAATATCCAAATAATAAATATATTTAAAAACCTTCTTGTATATTTTTATGCATACTTGTATAATTGTACATAATTATGCATATTTTTATGCATAATTATGTAGAATTATGCAAGGGTGCATAAAATATACAAGAGGTTTTCAAATAATGCTATTATATAATACTGCATTTCTTGCATAAACAATCTGAATAATCTATTGAATAACTAGATATCTATTTATTAATCTATTTTAACTGTTAATCTATAAAAATCAGATATCTAATAAATAAATAGATAAACAGTTAATAAATAGGACCTCTAGACCCAGGTACCTACTTCATGTCTACTTTCTTTGAACTGTCTTCCTCAGACTACCAATATAGTTGGCACAGTGGGTTGGCCTGCCCAGGCTTTAAGTACATAATAGACTTTCTTCACTTAGTACACACTTCCAGTATATATGTTCTTTTCCTCTAATACATCTTTGGTGGCCAGGTTGGTAGATGTCTTCTATCATAAGACCTGGATGTTCAGTTTTACCTACTAGTTTCTTAGTTTTTAGTCTAGTTTGGTTTTATGGCATTCTTATGATTCTTATAACTTCCAACTCAGGACTTGCCAAACTAGTTCTGGATCTTCAAGTTCTTTATTGGTATTTAGCTTCAATTCTGGTTTTTTTGTATAACCTATATCATACAAATACTTCCAGAATCTTCTAGTGCACTGGTGACACTGGTGTTTTCAGAGTTACAAACAATATAACTCAACTTATTAATTAAGATCTGTTACTATAACACAGGTAGTTTTGTCTAAAACATTACCAGTGGGATTTGAACTTGGTATCAAGATTAAGCTAGCTTGGGAGTGTGACAACTTTACAACTTCACTAAGTTACACAATTTTTTTTATTTTCAATTATTACTAATATACTATTTGATATAAATACTACAAGTTTATCTATAATATCTAAACAAAAATATAATTTTAATATAAATTTATTTAACAAAAATATAATATAGTCTACTCTTATTAATATCAATCTTGTTAGTATTAACCTAAGCTATAAGATGAATTTTTATAAATTTTTATATTTTAAAATTCTCTTATATATATCAACTATAATATAATCTCTTGTTAATATTACTATTAATATAAATTTAAACAAATTCAAATAGATTAATATAAACAAGAGTAGACTATAATTTGTTAAATATATATTTACTATAACCTTGAAATAATCTAACTAATTTAGTAGTTATTGTTACTACATTACATTTTTTAAGTATAGTTAATTGCAAAAACTGGTTGTTATTTTTCTTGAAGTAATTAAATATATTATATAAATATCTATATATTTATTTACAATATTGAATAGCACTGACTATAGTATCCTTGTTATAATGCCCCAATAGAAAAGACGCAAATACATTCATGAGTTTATGATTCAAAAAATTAAAAAGTATCTAGATATAGATATATATATATTTTAGATTTAAAGTTCTTATTAAATAATAATAAAACAATATAATATACAGTAGTTACCAAAAGTAACACCTGATTTATTAAGTAAAAATAAAAATTTTATTTATTTTATTTTTGTATTACAATATATTAAGTTTTTTATTTAATATCTATATACATGACTTTTTGAATCTACCACTGCCTTGATTCTTTATGATACTAAATCCACACCTACTCAAAATATCAACCTATTCAACTTCTTTCACTCATCTTTCAAACCTATTTTAAGCTTATCTGGGTCTCTTGGAAAGTTTTCACCACTCTGAATATTGTTTTTTATAATCTTCTAGATGTTTTTTATTGGGTTTAGGGTTGATTTATAAAATTATTATATAAATAAATAACTATTTAATCTAATTTAAGAAATTTGAAAATAGTTAGGGTTAGATTAAGCTTATAGTTTATATTAAAGTTAATTTAGTGTTAGAGTTATAGTTTTTTTTATATTATAATCTTATAATATTTCTATATTGCCCAGCTATACTAAAGAAGATCTGAGCTTAGATCTAAGATTGGGATAGCCACTTTATATATTTGATATTCTTTACTTTAAGCCAATTCATCACCTTATAAATAGGGGCATTGTCTTGCTAAAAAATTGAATTTGACTCGGTTAATAAATGCACAGCCATATTAAATAGTACAAAATAGTTGTCTAGAATCTTGGTGTAAATTTTTTTGTAAATTTTTTGCTTAGAACCTTTGTATTTATTAAAAAATACCATGAGACCTTTGATATAATTTGCAAACCATAACCACATCATTACTGAAAATCTTCTACTCTTAAAACTTGGCACCAAATACTTGTGTTTATACTGTTCATCTACATAATGCTATACTTGAATCTGGTGCAATTTTTTGCCTACTTCCACACTTATTTCATCAGAAAAAATAATAAACTGCCACTTATAAATGTTTTAGTTCTTATTTTTTTTACATCAATCTATATGTTCACTTATATTTGCTTTTGTTAAAAAAGATTTTATAACAGCAACATAAGAATGAACTCTAAAGTCATAGAGGGCTCTAGCTGCTATTGACACACTACATTGAAGATTTAAATTCTTCACAATTCTGTGCAAGAGCTTGCATTTTTCCTTCAATGCTTTTTTTAATAAGGCCATCTTTTCTTGCTTCTTTAGAGCAGAGAGACATCTAGACCTAGATATATTTTTAGTTTTTTTGGTCTTTTTGTACTTACTCAAGAACCTCCTAACCTTTGTGGAGTCACAGCTAATTCATTTGCAACCTTCTCAGCACTTATTAAACTAATAAAAGTAAAGATCATTCTTTTCTCTTTTTCTGTCATTTGGGTTTATAGCATTATTAAAAGAATATTGTTTTTTTTCTTTAGGCTAGATAATTTGATATTAAAGAAGCAAAAAATAAAAAAAATTGCCCCAAATAACATAAGTATGGGGTAAACACAGCCACTTTATTTGCCTACATGAGATAATCTACAAATTAGGTATTACTTTTGATAACTACTATACTTCCTATTATAATACCCTTCTTGTAATTAGTATCTAGATGGGTACTATTTAAGAAATTCAATGGTTTATTGAAAAATACCTAGGTACTGTGTCAGTGCTATGTGGTAATATCTGAATTTTTATTAATCATAATTCAAAAAACACAACTTTGTTACTTTCTTTTCAAATTTCAGCCTTAATTGTATTGGAAATAGTAAATACAAACTCACATTCAGATGTTTCTTTTTTATAAGTTATTGAACTGTCTGTAATAAATAAAAATTCCAATTCATGTGATAGTTGAACAAAATATAAAAACTTTAATAATGGTATATCTTCTCTTACAAGAGAATATACAATTCTCAAAATATCAATTACATGTATTTCATAATTCTTATTAATGTTTCATCAGCTGTTTTATTAGTAACTTCAAGCCTTAATGCATCTCTATGTTGATTGGAAGAGGCATGTTCTTTAATAGAGCTTTTTTGACCAGAATTTATTGATCCTATTAATTATTTTTAAATATTTAAAATAAAGATACTTCATCATCTAAATATTAAATTTTATGTTATTTACCTGTACTACTAAAAATATTTGACTTTTTATGTAGCATTCAATATTTACAAAACATCCGTTGAGAAATTTTATCATATTGAAGCCATTTAAATTCAGAAAGCCATGAATTTTGAAAACTCGATTTAGATTTTGTAATTTTTAGCCTTTCTGCATGATTCGAAGATAACACCACTTGATAACTTTGATCGCTTTGATCATTTTCATAATTATTTTTGGAACTTTCTTGAACAGCTATATCATCGTTTTGTTCGTTTTCATCTTGGTCACTTTCACAATTACTTTGATCACTTTTATTTTTGATTCATCGGTTAGAATTTTATTATTAATAAATATTTATATCGATATATACATATATAAATGTAATGATGTATGTCTATTAATTAAGAACGAAAATATTCCGACTCTTTAAAAATCGGGCGGAAATTGTCACATGTAAACGGAAATCTCCAGCATTTTACAATAAGATTTGTGC